GCCGCTTGGCTAGCTCATGCCCGAAATAACAACACACAAACTGTAATCATTTAAGAACTGCTTGGCCCATGAACTCTAGCCCTTACAGGCTAATTCTCACACCTGTACTAGCCCATTTCTTATGATGTGTGTAAGCACCCCAAGGTGCGCTTACCGGGAAGATTCTAGCCTCCGTCCATCATGGTGTCTCTGCTCCAGCGAGCAGAGCTGTTCGGTCCCTCTGGAAGCAGAGCAGAGTCTGACCTCACTTCCTCTTCCGCCCAGAATTCTATTCTGTTTTCTCCTCCCATCTATGTTCTAAGCTATGAGGCCAAGCAGTTGGTTTATTGCTCAACCAATGAAATCAACAGATTGATATGACACTCCCACATCAAGGTACTTTATCACTGTAGTGGGCAGAGTAACTAACATAGTGAGCCTCACAAATATGTAGCCTAGAAAAACGGGGATGTAGCCAAGTTCTTTACAATCTGTTTAAAGAACAGGGTGGCAATACAAGCAAGCCATATTTAGATTCAATTCTAACACTCTATGAGCACCTACTATGTTCCATGCTTGTATTAACTAAAATTAGCTGTTTTAGCCTTACAGTAACATTGAGATCTATGCTATATCAAGTGTATAAAGCTAAGCATTCATCAGAATGGTGGGTGTTCAACTTGCAAATAAACAGAAACTCAGCTTTCCAACCAAGTGTCTGTCCAGAGGCATGGCTGCAGGGTTTAAACTCAAGGTACTAGCGTGTGAAGGGGGCCTATCAATTCTTCTTTGGTTAATTGCTCTCGGTTTCATTGTATACTACAACTGAAACACCAGGTTTATTATAGAAAACTGTTTGTAGTGTCCCTTTAAGTTGGCCAAAGATAATTCTGAATTGCTAGTCTGAGCCCAGGACAAATACTCCTAATCACTCAAGACATTCAAGCCAGAGCCCAAATACTATTCCTAAGATTCGGATTCCTTCAAAACAGCATTTCAGGTGGTGGGGAGTATATGTTTATTACGTATCCCTTATCCAAACTGCCTGGAACCAGAAGTATTTTGGATTAAAAATTTTTTCATATTTTTGCAATATTTGCACATACATAATAAGATTCCCTGGGATTAGAACCCAAGCGTAAACACTAATTTCATTTTCTTTTCCTATAGACTGTATACTCATAAGATAATTTACATACAATACTTTCAGTTTACCTTGTTTGGACTGACACCCACCCCATAAGGTCGGGCATAAACTTTGTCACACCACACTTTAGGTCAGCATTCAGGAAGCTGCATATTTGGGAGAATTTTGCATTCTGGTCTTGGGGATTCGTTTCTAGACTAGTAAAATGGATTTGTTTTAGTGGCCAATCAACACAGTCTGTTCTTGTGATCCTTCCTGCCCCAATTACGGCTTTAAGCCTCCCTTCTTATTGTTCTGAGAACAACAAGCAAGCTTCAGCTAATCCTGAGAGCGGCCTTTACAAATCTCTGCCACCTCAAGGGCCTCAATCATGGTCGATTATACCGAACAGTTTTAGCGATTTGAAAGCAGTTGTAACTCGGCGCACAGTACAAAACTGCTTTGAAAATCAGAAAGCCAAGCAAATAAAGCTGCTGAGCAGATAACAAAATGCCTGTGAAATAGTGTTCTATGGCTATCACTCGGAAACGTACAGCACGGATAGCCCAGGGAGGCTGATTCATAATGCCAGGTTTATAGGCATGAAAACATGGCTTGAGTAAATAATTCTGATTTTGCTTTTGATACTCACTGATGATTTTTATTCCACTAAGGGAGCACCACACTGTTCCTTTAGCAGTGTCTCCATTATTCTAATTCCCTGTGGAGAGAAGAAAGAAAAATCAAAACGCCATCTTTCATAGACAAGCACCGTTACATTTATCACAACCTTTTCCCTTCAGGGACTCCGGGTCCCAGGCATATATTCGTTGAAGAAAAGTGGGCTCAGTCATCCCTGACATTTTCGTAATATTTCACTCAGCAATTCCCCTTCTGCTTTCTCCATGTGTTCTCAAAGCTGTTTAGGAGGTGGGCAGAGCAGAGTTTGGAATCTGCTTACAACATCAGACAGCAGCCCAAGCCAAGGTAAGCAATGTCTCACAAGTGGGACAGCTTGCCAGAGTTGGGATAATGGCAACCGTAAATGTTTGCCGAACGCTGACAATTGTGCTGGTTTCACTGCCAAGGTTCATGCGCGCTGGTACGGACAGCAGGTGCTGCCGTATCCCACCGAGATGCTCTCCAAGAGGAAGGCACTCTTTCCCCATCCACAAGCACCTATTATGGACCGCTGCAGGCACACAGACATCTCAGCCAAGGCGGATCATCACCTGAGGTCATGCCCTTTCTCCAGTGCCAGCCCATAGCCTATGATTGGTGGATATGAAGATAGAATGACTCTCTTCCCTCAATTGCCAACAAATTTAAGAGGCAATGCACCCTCATGGCTCTCCATGGCATAGCTGTATCTCAGCCAGCCTCCCAGGCTTCCCTCCTCCTACAGAGATGCTCCCGAGAGCCCTCTCTAATACACTCCACGAGCAAATCTCCACCTCGGACACCTTGTTTAATACACACAAAACCACTTTTCTATTTAGAACACAGATGTTCAAAGAGGTTTAGCTATGTGCCCAAAGCTCTAATGTCCTGATGCCAGGGAAAGCATACAGGCACTCCACCGTAGTTTCAGCCTCACACACGTTTTCTGCACTGCTCAATCCATGACTTCCCACACCGCCCTGCCTACCACCTGTTCTTGGAGGAAAGAAGACAGTGGATATTCCTCTCCTACTTTGGAGACCAGTTCTGCAGGCCAGAGAATAGCTTGCAGACAGAAAGATGAGACTGAGGCATAACCATGAGGTAGGGTTTTAAAGATGGCAAAACTGGATCCAGGAGGAAAGGGCCTGCTTTACACACAGACTAGAAATCTTGAGAATAATAGCAATGAAAAGAACTTGAAAACAGTTCTCCAAGCCTCTCCCAGAAAGGCGAGTTCAATGGGACTCTGGGGAGGCCCCAGAGCTCTTTATCTTTGACGTTTCACGTGATTCTTTTTTTTTTTTATTGTTGTTGTTGTTGTTCTTTTTGGTTTTTCGATACAGGGTTTCTCTGTGGCTTTAAGATCAAAGAGGGCCGGGTAATTTTGAGTGGGCCCACGAAAGAAGGGCTGGGACCCACCATGGGTGCTTGTGTGAGCTAGGAGACAGGGATTGGAAGGAATCAAAGGCATCACTTGGGAACATAATAAAATAGGGGCTGGAGAAGTGGTCAAAGTGCTTGACATGTGAAGATGGGGACCTAAGTTCAAACACCCAACACATTTCTTTTTAAAGACCAAAAAAAAAAAAAGTTAATAACACATCTATATTTCCAGCACTGGGAGACAAGGGAGCAGAGACAGACAGATTGATATATCGAATTCATTGTTTAGCCATTCTAGCCAAATCCATGGGTCCCAGGTTAAACAAGAGACCCATCTTAAAAAGATACAGTGGAAAATGAATGATCAAGGAAGATTCCTAACAGAAACCTCTGGTCTCCACACGCATGTATAAACATGTGAACCTTGTATGCCCATATAAGCATACCTACACGAACATACGCCACACACACATACACACATTTACATATATACACATAAACACACATGCAAGCACAAAAGTACACACACACATCCACATACACAGATACACATCTTTCACACCAAATCAGAACAAATGAGATAAGATTCTGAAGGTCCTTCCAGTTCTGCCAGAGCCATCACCCCAGATAGTGCTGCAGTATTCAAGGATCTGAGAAGAATGGTTTGTCAGATGAACCAGGACAGCAAACCACAGGGCAATAGCAGTCATCTGAGCCAGGAGACTTGAGCCCTATGTTCAGCTCACATCCCTTCCAAAGCTGGGGTCCTTAGGGCAGTCACTTTGACCAAGCAGTGCCTTAGACTACCAAGGTCAGGGGACTTTGAGGCCATCTCTTCCCAACACACCAAACCAACTAGGACCATCCACAAACAAAAGAGATTACAGGCTCCTCAGCCCCATAAGTGACTTCATCAGAAAATCCAGGGACAGGGCCTGGAACTGTGTGTTGATAACACACTTTGTGAGATTCTGAAATGCAAATTAGAAGCTTTGTAGGATGCCCTCCAGCTCTGCCCATCTGGGCATGATGAAGTAGGCCCTTCATCATACCTGGAGATGTTGTCTCAAACTGTACTTTTAAAATCAGTCTCCTGGTAGAACCAGAGAGAATACTGCTCTTGGCAGGGGACCTGGGTTCAATTCCCAGCACCTGATGTGGGAGTGATTTCTTATTAATAAAGAAACTGCCTAAGCCCCTTGATAGGCCAACCCTTAGGTGGGTGGAGTAAACAGAACAGAATGCTGGGAAAAAGGAGCTGAGTCGAGGAGTCGCCATGATTCTCCCGCTCCAGACAGACGCAGGTTAAGATCCTCCCTGGTAAGCCAGCTCGTGGGCTACACAGAATATTAGAAATGGGTTAGAACAATATGTAAGAGCTAGCCAATAAGAAGCTGGAACTAGCTGGGCCAGGCAGTGTTTAATAGAATACAGTTTCCGTGTAATTATTTTGGGCATAAGCTAGCCTTGTGGGCGGCTGGGTGCCGGGGACGCAGCCCTGCCGCTCCTATTTCAACAAGCACCCACATCAGGCAACTCACAACCTCCTGCAACTCCCAGCTCCAAGAGATCCTGCACCCTTTCCTGACCTCCTCACACAACTGTGCTCGCATGCATACACACTCACAAAAATATATGATGAAAAATAAATCTTAAAAAGACCTAGCTTCCTACGTCACTGGGGAAGAAGTGGGGACCAAAGCTGCAACAAGTAGTGGGACAAAAATCTAACCCAATTCTAAGACCCAGACCAGGTTCACTTCCACTGTCATTTATCCAACAATATGTCTGAGTAATATTTACTGTGTGCCCACCATGTACACTGGATGTTAATGGTAAACAGCAAAGAAAAAGTCCCTGTCCTAATAGAATTTACAAGGAATTTCCTTTCTTGTTTCAATCTTTTCACGTTCCAACAACCTCACCCCCAATAATGAAATGCCCGCCTGTTTCCAGGAGGAACAGGAACCGCCTTGACAGAAGTTCTTTTTTCGGAGCAGCTGCGCACATCCAGACGGTGTGTCTTTAAAACACGGAAGGCACATTCTTCCTTGGGAAAAGAGAACTAATCCATAAACTGTCTCATCTGTCTAAATTAAGACCTCCACCACTTACCAGGCCACTAATTGACGGAAATAAAGATTCCAAGCTTTGCCCTGGGAATTCCAAGACGTTATTTATTGAATCAATTACGTTCACAATGTGACAGCTGATTTCTCTTTCCCTTGCTCCCCCTCTCATACACTTTACTCTGAAGAAGAACGGTTAAGATACAGAAAGGGGAGAGTGAGGGCAGGGGAAAAGGCTTATAAAGTAAATTTAAGGAAACGAAAAATCCGAACAGTAGGCCAGGCATTATTCGGCACCTTTCTTGAGAAGGAGGGGCCAAGCCAAAGCCCACTTGATAGTGCTTTCAAATAAAGTTCATTCTAACACTCCAATCTTACCCCCCCCCCCATGAGACTTAAAGAGGCTAAATTTATACCCCTTACCACAATTTGCGGCCTGCATGCAGAGTCAACATTAAGTGCACCCACCTTTCAGACATGCTTTCAAAGCTTTTCTGGACTGACAAACTATAAACCAGCTTGATTTTATTATATCTCTGCCCTCGGAATGTTTTTTCCTCTCTTACTAGGCCATCTTTCCCATTTGTCAATACACAGGCAAGAAAGCCGCCTCAGGGCCTCATGTCGCTAATGCCAGGACGGCAAGACCTAAAGGTACTCCCATTCTTTAGTCTCGGAAGCTTTCAGTTTGAAATCCTTCACACACACCCTTCTCTGTTTCTAAGAAACCCCTGATCACTGCAAGACCAAAGTGTGTCTTCAGGAGAGGTAGCATCAAAGATGATTAGATCTAGGCAGTGTGTTTATTTTACAATCAAGTTGACGCTCCCTCAAGAAGCATCTGATTTTGCCTGAGAGGCTCCAAAGGGAGTCATTTGAGACCTTACAAAAATCACAGGCATCAGAGTGGTTCCCCAGAGGCACACCCATGCCGAGCTCTTAATAAGAGAGCTGCTCACTTAATTATCACAGTAATAAGAAAAATGATGTCAAAGACCCCACTGGAAAGAACTCCCTTCTTGTGGTTCATGGCTTCAGAGCAAATACTACCTGTGCTAGCTAAATTTTTATCAACCTGACACAAGCCAGAGTATCTGAGAGGAGGGAACCCACTTGAGAAAATGCTTCCATAAGATTGCCTGTAGGCAAGCCAGTGGGACATTTCCTTGTCTGGTGATTGATTAATAAAGAAGGGTCCAGCCCACTGCAGATGGTACTATTCCTTGGCAGGTAGTATTGAGATATACATTTTTAAAAGAACAAAAACAAAACAAAACCGAATGAGCAGAGAGGAGCAAGCCAGTAAGCAGCATTCCTCCATGGACTGTTTCAGCTCCTGCCTCTGGCTTCCTGCCTTAAGTTCCTGCCCTGACTTCCTTCCATGATGGACTGTAATGTTGAAGTGAAAGCAAAATAAACCCTTTCCTCCCCAAGTTGCTTTTGGTCAATGGTATTTTATCACAGCAATAGAAAACCTAATTAAGACACTGTCCACAGTACCAGCTGCCACTGTGTGTATGAGGCTGCTGCCAGCAGCAGAGAGATCCAAGAGGACATGATGTCCCTACTCAGAGGTCATAGTCTCGTGAAAAAAAAAAAAAAAAAG